AAAGGGGTAGGGGGAGGGAAAACTGATTAAGATTTATCATCAATTATCGATGAACTACGATATTCCTACGATAGGATGGAAAGGCTAGTAACGGCGTTAAAGGGGACGCTTTTATGAAAAAGCAGCTAATCAAACCATCAAAATTAGTCAAAGTCAAAAGTCAAAACCCTTTCCGTATTTGCTCCCAAAGTTATCAAAGCGATCACTTTTCTGCAGCCGTCATACTGACGAGGTCCTATCTCGCGGTGTTAAGGCGTATACGACTTAATGAACCGAAACGTCTTGTCTCACTCTTACCTTCTGTTCTCATTTTGCTGTAATCCATCAAGTCTTTGTCATTAAGGCTTCCAAGGTCAACCTGATTGCTATAATCGGCTTATTTTAGAGCAAATTATAACATATTTCAGACAAACGCAAAACAGGGGGTGCTGTCACCACTAATTTATCACTAAACAATCAAAAATTTCAAGGAATTAAGCCGAAAGCACTTACACATAAATAGTATCCGTAGTAAGTATATTGTTGACACTATCTTCTGGTGCATAAAGACGTGCAATACGATGATTGTTTACTTCAATTAAACGCAACTAAAAGGGATAATAATCATGATAATTAGAGTGATAACGAAAAGTATGAAAAACACGAGAATGTCTTCTCACGAATGTTTTTTTAAACCATGATATTAAACGCAACCAAAGGGGATAATAATCATAATGCTAGTGATAACGAAAAAAAAAACAAGGATATCGTCTCATGGATGTTCTTTTAAACCATGATAACGGAAAAACTGTTAGTGCAGCTCCTAATAACTATATTTCGCCTATCATTTCTTAATTACTTGAATATTTGAAATGATCATTAAACTTGACTAGTCAGCAATGCAGCAGTGGTCAGAACAATTGTAAAAGTTATTAGCTGCCTTGATTTCTTTTATGATTTTTTTTTTTGATTTATGATTTTTATAACTTTTTATAACTAATCTTGATATTTGTGCGGAGAAAAAAAACAACTTACGGCTCTTGGATTAACATTGACTAGCCGTGATAATGCGTCCAGAACCTCCACGACTTTACCATCTGCATTGTA